CCCCCCACTCCCTGCAACAGGTCGTACTCACGAAAGACTTAAATTATCATCACGAACATGAGCCAAAAGCACATACACACCCACCCCCACACATGTGCGCATGTGCGCGCGAACTCACACACACACACACACACACACACACACACACACAGAGGTGAACAGCAACTGCAACATTTTGTCCTTGACTGCACAGGGCGCTGCCAAACTAGGCTAGCGTTCCAACTTGCAAAACACAAATACTTTTTTTTTTTTTTAAATCATGCGAGTGAAAAAGACAAAAAAAAATAAAGAATTCATTGATAATTCTAACTCAGACTTTTAACAATGGCAGAAGTTTACTATGCGCAGATACTGTGAAATGCCCACCAGTGTTACAGCTTTCTGTTATAGCAGATTAATGCCATGTTGGGCAACTATGTCATAGATTTCTGCTCCTCTCTTTTAATGAAATAACGTGACCGTTAACGCAAGTAACTTTATTTATTGTTCACCCTTTTTTTTCCTTAAGGAATGGACTCTTCCACACACCACCCTATGAACAGCTCTTCAGAAAGCCCCTTGAAGTTACAATATTTAACGTGAAATCCATTAACTGGAATAATTGAGTTTCTTTATTTTTACAATAAATTCACTGAGTAATTATGTTGAGGCTGGAATTCTGAGCTTTGTGTTTGGACTGTCTGATCTCTAGTTAAAGGAGAAAGTGAAAGGGGGAATATTTATTTAAATCTACCAGTTAATTTGCTGGTCAAGTCTCTTGTGCTATAACATGCAAAAAATTAGTTTAAAAGTCCTTCCAGATCCTAACTTCTAAAGCAACCAGGAGAGGAACTTTTAGAATGGCACATCCATGTCCCATTGCTGCCAACATGGCTTTGTCAGTGGTTCCTACTTTTCTGTGAAGCCACCAGCTTGTGATACGCCATCTCATTTCGCCTTGCATGTGAGACAGCAAACAAAATCCACAAATGGTGTGAACTAATTAATACGCTGGCTGCTACCTTGCATAAATTAATGGTTTGATCACACGGGTTTTTCGTGGGGTTACATCTGTGAATAGCCTGTTTTCCACATGTAAATTTGTGCCTTACACCCTGAGTTGTGTACACTTGTAAACTGTCATTATGATAAACTTTTTCCTCCTTTTGAAATACAGATATTTATTTAACCCTCCCCTCACCCCACTCCAGTCCTCTGGAAGATTAGCTGTCCAGCAGATGGAAGAGAATGCGGTGGTGATGCTTATAATCTCGCAGCCTGGGAAAGCTGGGCGCACAACACCCTCCAATTCGCACTTCCTTTTAGTCGTGCCAACTCCAACCACCCTTTGGCCATGTTGCCCAACATGGACCCCAGTGTTGTGGGTGGCAGATCCCTTCTCCCTCCAGAGCTCCCTGCTTCCCTTAGATTCTCAGATCATTTCAACATGGTGATATCCTCATTTACCAGCAGAAGGACTAAAGTCCCAGTCCTTATTTCTGCCATGTCCACTGGCTGGAGAACATGCTGTGTGCGGTTGGGCAGGCATCTGGGAGGCGTCTCCAGGCCGTGTGCTCAGTGCACTCGAGCAATGCACACAAAGAAATGACATGGAAATAGATGCAGGCAGGCTGGTCCCTGCTGTGATTAATGAGTAACTCCCAAGTACAAGGCCAACTACAATGGATGCTGCAAAAACCTTGACTGGGGCAAAAGATTTTTAATTTTTAAAAAAATTTCTTTATCTTTTTGTTGTTATGGTTTGAAGGGGGTGGGTAGGTGGGTGTGTGTTTTTCCCCTTGGTTTTCATTAGCGCAAGCACACAGAAGGGACTTTTGTTTACTCTATCATGAACAAAGGAATTGTCAACATGCTGTAAACTGTGAGCATTATTGCTTATTGTTTTTTTAAACACTTAAACATATTTGGTGATCTCTGTCTTTTTATTTCCAATTTGATCTTGGGTTAGTTTTGTTTTTTAAAAAAAACTTTCAAAACGCAATTTGAGGCAATTTTGAGTTGGCTGGGGAAAAAGTGATACCTCCGTAGTCAGAGAGACCTAGGTGTATAGCCGTTGCACGCACAGCCGTTAGTCCCAAACATCTCTTGTTGTTTTGCTGTTATTTGGGGTAGGTTTTTGCGTCCTTATGCTTTTGTTTTGTTAGTGGAATCAAGGTTCACATCCTGTGAACTCTATACCCTGAAACCATGAAATCTTTTTTAGATAGAAACCGATATATTGTTTTTTCCCTTGAATTTTCTTTAGAAATGCAGAACTTAGGAAAGTAATGGGTGTCTGTTACCCTGCTCCCTTCTTCCCCAAGCTTGACTTCCAAGAGTATTGACCAGGCAGTGCCCACCATCTCATCCTCAGGTGTGGACATCACTGCCTCAGCTGTGTTATGGAAACCTGTATCAAAATCCCCCTTTCACAATCCATCACTTGCGGTGTTGACCCGAGAATGCCCACCTGTGTTGAGCTGGTCTTCTGCATTTAAGTATTTTTCGCCTTTTCTTTTTTCCCCACTGCGTGTGGGGGGAGGGTCCATACACCTGAGTGTGCCTTTGCTTTCCACCCTTGCTAGACACTGGTAGATGCAACAAACTCAGATTTATATTTGTTGTAAAGTTGTAAAAATATTGTGATGTCACCAATTTTCCTTCCATCTCCACATCCCCTAACAATCTGATTCACGACTTAATGTATGTTGTAAAAAAAAAGAAAAGAAAAAGAGGGAAAAAAAAAACACAAAAAAGCAAGGAAAAAGGCTCTTTATTACTTAAAAGTAATAAAACAAGACTGTTCATTATCTTTTGTGTCCTGGGTGCTTTTATTTATCTCTTAATTTTTTCCTTCTTAAACCTCACACTTTTTGAGTATGTAGTTACACCCATTTGTTTGCAGTGCCCACACCCAGCACCCAGCCTGGAGCAGGATTGTACAGAAGCCACCGGTAATTAAAAGGCAGAGCACGCACTGACTCCCTCTATTCATTTTATGCATTTTCTTTTTATGGGCTTGTTCATCATCAAACATTTATGGTAGGCTTGATAGTTTAAGAGATCAAGGCTAGAATTTTAGTATGTAGGGTCCACTAAAAATAGATCCTTGCACAGATGTGACTTCAGCCTTTCTACATATTAATAAGGTGGAGGGTGCCAGATTTCACTCCTTGTTAGCATTTATCCCTTGTAACCCAGAAGACACTCGGAGGTAAGTTGGGATGCAGCACTTGATTTTTACTTTGCAGAAGAGCATTATGAAATGCCTAGGTCAGGTTTTCCCCTCTGGTATATTTTTTAAAGTTATTTAAATAAGTCCTCATCTACAGTAGTTTACTTTTGACCTGAAATAATTTTTTTAATGCTTTGGGTCAGTTTGAGTGTAGAAAGCTTTGTGTTGGCCTCAGTTCACACCTACAGTAATCCAGTCACCTTTGATAAGTCAATTCCAATTGTATTTCTTAAATCCCATCCACAGGGCCAGGCACTGTCCCGCACAAAATTGACTAGACTGTAGTTCCTTCTTCCTCTTATATAAGGAGAGATTGACATCCCTCTGTGATTGCCATGGGGCAGGAAGAACAAAGCGCTGCGTAAGCGGCCCAGAAGTTTGGGGCACGAGGCTACAGATTAAGCTGGTTCTTGCAGAATGAGTTCTCCAGACAGCTAGCCCAGGCAGAAGGGATAACTTGTGCAAAAGCACCAAGTATGCTGTGTTTGGCAAACAAAAGGCCTGGCAGGCCTTGAGCAGGGTCTGTGAGAGCCTGGCTGGAGCAAGGCTGGGCAAGGGGGTTAGGGCTAGGCCAGGAGGGGCTGGTTACCCTGTGCTAGGGTTTTAGCTGATGGGTAGCTGAGAGTCTTTGGAGTATATGAAGCAGCAAACACATGTGTTTGTGCTTTAGAAAGCTACTTGGAGGTGATGTGGAAAACGGATTGGTCCAGGGAGAGGCTACAGGCTGCTGGGCAATGTGCCGGTGGCATGCCAAGTTATTAGAACAAAAGTCTCCCCATCCAACTTAAAATTCTTTAGGAAACAGCTCTGTGATCAACCCCTTTTGCCAGGAAGATCTTGTCTTTATGACTGACAGGTTTGCCCTGCTCACTTACACCCAAATGTAAAACAGCTACTCATTTTTTCTTCTAAAAAATGAGGAAGCTGAAGTCCACTGAGTGAAAGGATGTGCCCACAATCCTAAAGCTGGTGGTGGAACAGCTCTTCTGAAGACAAATGCATCTGTCTCTTACCCCTCCCCTCCACACTCACCCCATTCATTCGAATCACTAAAGCAATACTAGCTAGGAAGCCCTGAGCCGCGCTGAGCCCAGACAGCTTCTCCACCTCACTCAGTCATCCTTTCTCACAGGACTCCCCCACCACCCCCCCACCCGGCCTTTTCATCCCAAATTCCTTCATCTGGGCCGAGGAGACCAGACGGGGCAGGCTAGAGCTCGGATCACAACAGGATTGAAGCACAGTCCCTGCAGTGCAACCTGATACATGGTAGGGTGGCTTCTGCTGCAGTCAGCTTTGTTCTGGTCTGGGAGAGAGGTGACAGAGGCTGAACAGATGCAGCCTGTGTTTTAACTGGGTCCCCAGGGATGTCCCCGCTCAGGCTGAAGTGCCTCAGACAACCCAGCTTTTTAATTGTGCTTGCTGCTTGCTTGTTGCTGGCTTGGCCGTTTCTGCAGGATGTTTTTTAACTGTTGGCCTTAAGAAGTGGCTGTCCCAATACAACCAATGGGCTAGGTGTTTCACGGGGCCAGAGCTGGCACCTTGGATCCACCTGCTTTCCTTAAGTGCTCTGTTCATAAACACAAACTGGTCTCGCTCAGCCTTGTAAGTTGGCAGATGCCAAATTGCCCAAGAATCACGGCGCCCGGATTTGACTGCCTGAACCAAAGCTCTTTCAAAAATGTCATTCAGC